ATATGGAATTTCCAGTGAAATGCCAAAATATGTTTGAGCTGTCAGGCCTCAATGCTTGCAAATCCACCAAGGGAAGTAAAAGCAACACTTACCAAGCCCAAGCCGGTCAAATTGAGAGTCCGGGCGTTATATTGCTCCCCTGGGAAATTTGCTGAGGCACGTCCGAAAGCAACACATGGTGGCAGGAAGATATAGTTAAAAAGATGGAAACCGTGTTGCCCCACGGGTCCGAAACTCGGAAAAAACAAAAAAGCATTTCCAACAAGAGGAACAAACACCAAACAGCTACAGAAAGGGACCTTTGCGGGCAGCAACTGGGAGGGTTGACCGAGAGAAGAAGCCCCAAACCAGGAATCGATAGTTTAAAGGAACTCCTTTTTCCAATGCACGCGCAATCCAAGTCGCCGCTGCGTTCGTTCATGAAGTCCTTCAGCTGCAGCAGGTTTGCAGGCACCTCGCAAGATCGGGACGGCTGGACATGTTTAGACGGCAATGACAAGCCTCCCTTCGTTGGCTCCATGGTGACTAAGATGCTGACCTGAAATCGGGGCACCCATGAGACAAAAGAACTTTACACCCCGTCCGGCAGGTTCCCACTGCCATTGCACACTCATCTCTCCTGAAGCAACAAAGGAAAAGAACAGTACAACACATGACAATGACACCTGTTGGCTGTGCTTCTTGAATTCCCGCCCAAAAAAAACAAAAAGCAACGGAGCATCATTTTGGAAAGCCCAAAAAGCAAACGGCGATGGCTTTCCCGACTGAACAAGTCGAAATCTGCGGCTTAGACCACGCAGAAAGGTAACCTTGAACAATGTCCAATGAATTGACCGACGCATCGCCGCCCAAAGGGCTCCCTCGAAATTAGATGTTGTGAGATTGAAGCAGAACCCATCAAAGGATTCTGTCTGAACTTCCCCGATGAATTCTGACGTCAGGGTCCACGCTGAGTGTGTTCAGCCCCGAAGGAATCCCACATAGGCAAGCTCGGTGTTTGCAGCACTTGCAGGCCTTTGAGGGGCACACAATTCCCGGACAGCGCATCTTTGCCAGTCTGCTTGGCACCGTTCAATGGCGCAAGAAAGGAGAGTGGAACAAGCAGAGGATCTTGTTCGCCACGCCGCGGACCTGACGGTGGGTGTAGACCACTTCGCTCCGGGGAAGGGGGAGTTTCCGGACAGGTCGAACATCGTGGTCAACACACGCTGGCCGGCGAGGGACGAGCGGCGCAACGGTGATCCGCCAGAGTCCACCGAGGAGAGCCGCCGGAGGTGGTTGACTGCTTCAACGAGCAGGCGTCCGGAGGCGTCCGCCTCTTGCCTGCCGGTGAGAAGATTGCTGGCCACAAGTGGCCCAACGGCGATTGGAGCTTTGACCGTGTTGTGGGCCTCTTTGCTCTTCTTGGTTCCTCTTGTTTGGCCGCCCTTTGGGGTGCCCTGGTTTTCGTCGTCCAAATTCCTCCACGGACCCACTGTCCGTCTTGGCTGATGCCTGTTGGCGCCCTGTGGGCTCTGCTTGGGTTTGGGTCCGTCGTTTCAGTGCCTACTCGCTGTGGCTGTGCGCCGGGGCCTTCTCAACGCGAGTTCTGCCCAACTTCGCCCCATCGCTTTGCTGGCCCCGGGCCGCGGTTCCTCGTGTTTTCTCGACACTTGGCCTCCGTCGTCTTGGGTACAGCTCGAGCGTTGGGTCCCTTTCAGTCGGGAGTTTTAGTTCGGTCGTTGATGCTTGGGCTTGTTGGCTCGGGAGCATCCATGGGTTAGTTGATCGGGAAGTCTCGTTGCCTGTCGTATCCTTCCTCGGCGTGCGGGAGTTGCAGCGAGCGCGCAGGGCAGACGCAGACGTGATGAGCTCTACTGACCTTGGCCCTCTTGGCTTAAGGATCGGTAGCGGGTTTGGACTTGCACCCCTTGCCCCACGGAGCCGCTTGGTGTGCCTTTGCGCTATGCTTTCCTTCTCGCTTCCCTCCCTCCCATGAAGACGGGGCCTCCTGGGTGCCCATCGGCTGAGGTTTTGGATCTTCCCTGTCTCTGGTATCCTTCGGCGTCTCTATGGGAGGCTTTCGTGCGGCGCCCTTCCCCTCCCTCGCACGTGTTGGACGAAGGCTTCCCATGGATGAAACCCAGACACGGTTGAACTCCTCGGGAACCCCTGAGTTAACCCGTCCTTGTAATAAACCACCGACTCTAGGGCTCCAAGGCAAAACAGGCCCCTCTTGACCCAGCGAAGTATTTCTGGTTAGGATGAAAAGTGATATGGCAATGGGTCAAAATCCCGCACCCACCTACCAACCAAAATGGTATCCCATTGGTTTTGACCCACAGCCATATCCTCCAGCTACCCATGGCTGCCCTCCAGAACACCGCGGTTTGCATCTGGGCCACGTTCTCACCCTGGAGCATCTGAGCGAAGATGAAGTTCTGCTGCAGCTCCAATAGGTCCGCCCTAAGGCGCAACCCTGAAATCATGAAAGCTCAAACTCAGATGCCCAGTGGATTTTCATGGGAAACAAAGGGCACCCTTTTTGTGTTGTTTGAGTTTCAAGTGGAACCCTTACCCAAAAAAAGGAAAAGAAAAAGGGCACAGCGCACTGGGCAGCAGAGTGTCTTGGCTTTCTCTCTCCGTCTCTCTCTCTCTCTCTGCCGTTGCGTCCAGAGGGTCTTGACTCAGCAAGGCAACGGAAAGGGGCATGCCTCGCTTTTCTATTGCCGGGAGGCAACACGCCGCCAGAAGCCCCAGACAGAAAACCCCCCCACCCACGCCACCTGAGTCGCCTCTGTCCGGCCCAGCGGCACCAACTGCTGCGAGCGATCTGTCATGCTGTAGGAGGACGGCACCGCGTCGGGGTAGTTGTCCTTGGGGCCACTGGGCTGGGGGCTGATCTGGGCTTGGGGGGGGTGGGGGGTCCCCAATTCCATGTACCTAGTCTTCCCCACCAAAGGGAAAATGGAACCAAGTGGAATTCTAGGGGCGCCCCCCTCCCCCAACTCCATTTTAAAGGGGGTGGGCTTGCGGGGCCTGTCAGAAGGCCCGCCTCGGAAAATTCGGACCGCGACCCAACCTCGACAACTCCAAAACTGCAGGCGCCAAACTAAAAGATGAGCTGCATGTGAGGCAGAATGGTCAACTCCGTCCAGTAGCACTTTACTGGCACTTGTCAGGACTCAGGACTCCCTGATCATTTGAAGGCGGCTAACGCCGCTCATCCCCATATGTCCCCAATAAGAACGGGGGCGGGCCCCCCCCTAATAAGAAGACATCCTCTGCGAACATATGCTTTTTGTTCACTAGGGGGACCCCAAAGTGAAGAACTGGGTTTTCCAAATGTAGGGAGTCGACCCAAGCCGGAAAAAAGAAGGACCTGGTGGGACATGTTGCTAGTTTATAATTGGTTTAGTCTTGGTCAAATCTAATTTAGCATTCACTGATTTAGGATTCTAAAAATCATGTTTTAGAATCAGGGGGACCTGAAGGTTACGGGGTGCTAATTAGTGGGATCCCATCGCTGCATGGGGTTTTTTGCAAGCCAGAACGTCATATCTCGCATAGAAGAACCCCCCGCCCCTCATGCAGAATTTCATCCCACGTCCTTCGGGACTGTGGACACGCTGGTCCAGCCACATGCGATATATCAATCACAGGTTCGATGGCAAACATTGGATTTTGTCAACTCCGCGTCGGCTGATGCCAACATGAAGAGCACTTCCATCGCATCTGCAGGTGCATATCACAATGCAAAACAATGATGAACAGTCCAGTTGGAAGACATCCTATCTTCGCAAGCACGCAAAACAGCAGGCATTGAACCCTTGCGTCTAGGTCACCTTCCAAGCGTTGCCTCCAAGCTAAAACAAGCAACCGGCCAGAGTTTGCCGCATTACTCCATCTGAACTAGTCACCATTCAGTAATTCAGCGATCCAAGCAATGGGCCTTTCCTGCCACAATTAGTGCAGATGCAAATCTGCCAAATGTACCACAAGCGTCAATGATGTAGCGTACCGCCTGGTCCGGTCGCTGGAACTGCGACGGCAGCTGCTGTTGCAACGGCCTGAGGAAGGGCATGTGGTGCTTAGTTGGCCAAAGGAAACGGCTCCTGTTATACCGCGCCAAGAGCATCACTAGTAGTCGCACCACGTGAGAAACCATGCTTTTCAGTTCCCCAGATCCACTGCAAGTACATCTGGGTCAAGTTGGTGGGAATCTTCGCCACCCGCCTGCACTTGCCAATGCCACGCACGGCCAGCAGGAATATGGCTGCCAGCAGTTTCCTCAGCGATGTGTGTCTGTTTGACGGAACGCATCAACATATAACAGGTTTATAGGCCTTACCAAGAAGTAACAACATGAAACCAGGTGGCAGAACTACCGCTTTGGGCGGTGCTCAGTATGCCGCGCTCACTGGGCTAAAAGTTTCTTGTCTTTGTTCAACTCCGCTCGGCTAGCCCTCTCCGCGCTTAATTAACCAACAAACAAAACCAATCGATGAAAGCGGGTGTGCTTCTTCGGAATGCTCATAAATGTCAAGCATTCAAAGCTGTGTACCAAAAACACAAGCACGATTGACTAATCCAAATAACACTGATTGATCCCCCTCCCCAAAAAAAACGATACAAATCGGCCCATGCGGTATCCCCAACAGCCTCGGAATCCCTACTCCGATTCACCCTAGAGCTTATTTGGGCACAGACCCGTTGGGGGAAAAACACACAGAACGTGCACATGCGCCTTCCCACCACCGCTCAAAACCAAAATGCACCTCAGTGGGTTTCACGTAGTCCCTGTTGGGTCGTCTGCCCCTTCACGCCGGGACATTCGGCTTTCGAGGCGCGTGTCTCCTTTAAGGGCACCCGGCTTGGGGTCCGTTCAAAGGGAGGCCAGAACAAATAGCCCATTGGGGGGTCGGCTCGAGGCAAACCACAACTCCACTTTAAAAAAAATATGCCACCGGTGCACAGCCACAAATCAAAGGATATTCCCTTGCTGGTAGTCCACTCTAAGCCTCATTCGCACCCAACAAAAAACCGTGTTTTTTTCTGCAGCTTGATCCCGGTGAAAAGAAAAAAAAAACTCCGGCGCAAGCAGCTCGTTGTCCGGGCAGGTCCAGGCCAACAGCTGCCGCAGCTGCTCCCACTGCGCCTTCGCCAGCCGCGCCTTCTCCGGCTGCGGCTTGGTAAAGGCCTGGCGCGCTCGGGGCGCTCGGGGCGCTCGGGGTCACCCGGTCACCCGCCCGACAAATTGAGCTGGAGCCCAAACCAGCAAACCCAAAAGGCTGATTCAGCCGCGGGCTCCCGAAGAACATGTGGAAGCTCTTCTTGGGGAAAGGGGGTTCAAAGGTTTATTGCAGGACATGCGACCCAAATAAGACCATATGGGTGCCATGTTGGTGAGAGGGTACAGGGTTACATGTGAGTGCGAAATGGAGGGGGGGGCAAACAAGTGGACTCCCCTTCACCCATAAAAAACTGCACCAAGAAAGGAATCCTTGCTAGACGTAAAACTCTGCAGTCAGTTGGGTGTGAATTTTAATTCGGGACCCTTGGATATCATTCAGGCGGGGATTTATGTCCGCCAGCCGCTTTTCAGGGGGTTCCCCACAAAAAAGTCATAGCCATTGCACAGGTCCGTCTGCCCGTGCGGAAGGCCTCGTAGTCGTTGCGTGCCAGGCAAATCAGGCTCAGGATGCCGCACTCGGCCCGCTCCTGCTCCTTCTCATCTGAGTACCTGTCTCAAAAAAAGGGCCCGGCGGTGTCTGTCTGCCAGGGTTTCGGGTACGTGCAATGGTCAAAGCTGCATATATGGGTCACGGTCACAGGCGTCTGGCATAGGCCTTCCACAATGCTTAGCTAAAAATACTTACCAAGGGGCAGTTAAAGGGCGTCTTGACGATGGCACACATGGCACTTGGCTAAGGCTCCATGCATTCTCGCACCGAAGTATGCCATCTGCAAGTGATGGAGCTGTGAGTTGGGCGATTTCATGCGCAACAAGCCTAGCATCGCTTGTGTCCAGCTGGCAACTGCGGGTACAACTTATTCACACACACACACACCCGCCCGCACGCGCACATGCGCACGCGCACACACACACACACACAAGTGATATGTTTCTACCTGCAAACTCCCTTCCACTAGACATTGTAACCATCGAGTGCTCGCTTGCTCGCTTGAGACTTCGAAGTCTTGCAAATGGGGTCAGCGTGTCTACATTTCTCGGTGCGCCACTCGTGAAACCCCCAAGCCTGTGACAAAAACCTCGCGGCCAGATCCGAATGACAAGCCCAACTCATGAGGCACATCCTCTGCCCCAGTGCGCGGTAAAAAAGAATGAGCGTGGGAAGTTCACATCGTCTTACGTAGCAGTTGAAACTTGAAAAACTCCGCTCTTGGATACTTTCCTTCAGGCTACAGCCACAGGACCAGATGCCCTTCAAGGCTCACGAGTCGAGGAACTACGCCAGACCCGCAACTCACAAAGGAACCCTAAGGAGCAAAAGCGAAAAGACCAGCAGGTGTCTTAAATAGGGATCTGGCGAAAAGTCAAGGAAATCACCAACTCGTTCTTGTATGTTCTCTTTTTTTTTTTCTTCCTTTCTTTCTTTCTTTCTTTCTTTTTTTGTTTCCTTTCACAGCAATTCAACCCAGGCCGTTCAACACCCCATCTCTACCAGATCTGCAGCTCGCAGGCCTTGCATGGAGACCCTCCGCTTGGTCCAACTCCACAAAGGCGTCGCGAAGCTTGTCCACCAACATGCCCATACTGCGCCAGGTGCAGAGTAGGTGTTTCCCCATCCCCCGTTTCCCTCCCAGCAACTGACAGGGAAGTGCAAAAAGGCCCTGTCCAAGAGGAAAGTCGTCTTTCTACAGGGGTCTGTGCACTTCCATGTTAGCTGGTGGAAGGGTAACCTTTATGAACCAAATAAGGCAAAGCAATCACCAGTCACAAATGCAGAAACTGCCATCTTCCACAGCGGGCATAGGAAAGCCTAATGCACAAACAAATCAGTTCAAGCCGAGCCCAGCAATTGGACGTTCCGCCACCCAAAACGCATGGTACTGGGAACCACCCGGAACTCAATCTTTTCAGCCAGTTGTACTGGATCCACCACACAGTTGAGAACACAAAAGGCAGCGGTCCCCTTTCGACTCTCCCAGTGTTTGAAAGGCAGTCCCGGGCACTTTAGCCAATGTTTGAAGATAACAACGCGCTGATCAGCGAGCGCCCAAAGCTGAACAGACATATGGCCATGGGTGAAAACCCCGTATCCCCCATGAACATCATGACATCCCAGTCCCAACTAAAATAGACTGAAATGGGTGGTGCACCTACCAACCAAAAATGGGATCCCGTTGGTTTTGACAACCGCCGCCATATCGCTTTACCCCAGGTATCAACACCTGATAAAAACCAAAGCCTGCTTCCCAGAACATCCGGAAAGCTCCCGCGTGGCCATGGACTTCCATCCGAAAGCATCGGAAAAAGTCCGAGAAACTCCGCCGGCCTCACTTCGGGACTCAGCATCTCGTCCACAAACTCCTTGGGGCTGATGTGGACCTCGCCCACCTGCGACTCAGGTGGGACCGACCCTGACTTTGGACGGATGTCATGAGGATGCCCAGTGGCCATGAGAAAAAATGGACACCCAGTTTTTGTTGGTTGAGTTTAAAGGGGAAGGCACAGATGTCATCTCAGAAGCCCACTCTAAGCTGCCCAGTGGATTTCCATGAGAAAAGGGAAAGGGCACCTTTTTTTGTTGGTTGAGCCCCCCCCCCCCAAAAAAAAAAAAGCACCACTGGGAAGCAAAGCACTTCTCACTCAGACTCACTTCTTCTCCCATCAAATGAAACCCTGCCACAAGCTGAAACATGATTGAAACGTGTGAAGGGAAACCGCAGGAAACCAAACCATTGGAAACAACGAAGCAATTTGGGTGTTTTTTTTTTTTTGTTGGGGGGGGGGGGCCACAAATTGTTGGGGAGCCACAAATTGGTGGTGTTCCTTTTGGGTCTCCCTTTAAAAACCACCAAAAAAGGTACCCCTAAACAAACACAGACATGTCCACCCCGTGGTTCCTCTTCCCGCCTTCTCCACTGCCATCTCCTTCGACTCCAGCGACTTCTTTTGCACAACCTTGTGCATGGCCTTCATCATGCTGGCGTGCCCGTTCACGAGCACCTCTCAGGGTTGGAGCCAGCTGGCCTAAACGCATCCTGTACACATTATTATTGACATATTATGTCTATATATTTTCTATATTGAGTTTCCTCTTACACACACATACTGTTTTATATATATATATATATATGTGTGTGTAAGAGGAAAATGAATCTTATCAAATCATGATTCCGCGTCATATGTCCCTTTCAATTGAGCCAGGTGCAGCCTCAGGTGCAGACAGGCCTTCAAAAAGAGGCTTTGCAAACTCTGTCCGCCGAAAGAACCACACACGCACACAAACAAACACACACACACACACACACAAACATGGGACCCATTAACCCAAGGATCTTCCGGACTCTCCCCAACATAATCAGCTGGCAAGAAAAAGACCCTGGTGCCCTTGACCCCCACTCCTGGTACAAGGAACTCTGCTTCCCAGTGGTGCCCTTTTCTCTCTTTTTTTTGGGGGGGGAAGGGTTCCCCAGAAATATCAACCAACAACAAAGGGCCCTTTTTTGCCCACCACTGGGCATCTGATAAAAAAAAAAAAAAAAAAAAAAAACGGCAGTCTGGGGGGTTTCCCATGTTGGCAACTGGCTCCTCCTGCGGCGATGAGTTGCTGCCGTAGGAGCTGAGGCTTCTATGGTGTCCCACGGCGCACCTCGGACCACTCGGACCGACAGGATTTTGGACTACCTTCCCGAAGTACCCACTTCCAGGACTGCTGGAAGTGCAACTAGAGTAACGATAAGCCTGATTATCCTGATTGCTTGACCTGAGGCAACCATGCTGCTTGCGGGATATCCAGGTACAGCGGTTGCATTCACATTATCACGGACGAAAGCCCATTCCGTGACTCGGATGTGTGAAAAATGCCATTTACTGCAAACGGAAAACCGAACGCACCAAACAAATTCAAAGATGGCCGCACTTTGCTGGACTTCAAATCATCCTACAAAGGGACAAATGTACCCCTGCCAAAGGGGGAGGTCAGGGATGAGTGAAGGGACCTTCAAAATGCATGGGATCACTCCAATGGGGGTTGTCAAAAATTGCTCGAAACTGTTTGTTCCGCCGCCGTTCAGCCAACCTTGCGCACTCAATGGAAATCTGAACCACAAATTAATACAGTTCATGGTAGGGTTCAGGCAGCTTCGACATGGCCTGAAGGGGGAGGGGGTCGACTTCCGCACTACTTCCGCGTGACTTTTGCGCAGTTCGTTGTGTGCTGCCCTGGGGGCTATCTTCCCAACACACACACACACACACACGGACACAGACACAGACACAAACACAGGCACAGGCCGAGACAAAAAGACAGAGAGACAGAGACACAGAGAGACACAAAGACACAGAGACACAGAGACACATACACGCACAAACACACACCAACACACAAACACACACCCGCACAACCGCTCAACCGCACATCCGCACAACCACACAACACACAACACACAACACACCACACACACACCACATACCACACACCACACACAACACACAACACACAACACACACACACACACACACACTCACTCACCCCCGCGCGCGCGCGCGCGCGCACCCAAGCACGCTCGCACGCACGCGCGTGCGCGCGCGCACACCCGCACCCGCACCCGCACCCGCACCCGCACCCGCACCCGCACTCGCACCCGCACCCGCACCCGCACCCGCACCCACACTTCCGCATCTCTTCCACCGCCCTTCGGCGTCTCTTCCGTGCACACAGTGACCAGCTCATGCCATATTGGAAATTCGGAATGCTAACCGAATACATGATTTTCATGACGACTCCCAAATGATTTGTGCCAAGAGGGACTGCCCTTGCAAAGGTACTTGGAGGTCTCCGCTGTCTGGCGGAGGAACTCCATTCTCCAAAATCCTCTCTCAAGTCGGTGGGAATTTGGCCCCCAACGGGGGCCAAGTGCCCAGTTTCTGTCTTGCTTTGGCAATGTTTGGGAACCTCCCCCTTCTTTGCGGGCTGCTCCAGCAGAACCTGGCTCCGCAGGCCAGCCAAGTTCAGGTTCTCGATGAGCTTGCCTCGTATTAAAACGGCAGGAGCCGTTTCAATGAACCTGAAATTGTCCGTGCATTGGCAAGCATGGTGACGGGAGCTCACTGATATACTCAATCTAGAAGCTACTTGTTCGAAATGAACTGAGCCCTTTGTTACCTATTTTTGTCCCTTAGCCCAGACATTATTGGAAAACCAAGGGTCGATCGGTCGCTGAAAGGAGCGAGCAGAAATCAAAGTGCAAAACGATCGCAAATATCCGCAAAACGAGCGCAAATATCCACAAACAAGTGCAAATTCAAAAAACCTAACAATTGCCCGCCTTCCTCCGGATAGAAGAGGGGGATTTGATCGAGCGTTTGTGAGGGGGCGAGAGTTTTTTGGGGGGTCGAGCAGGCATCGGTAGTTCGCCCCGCTGCGATGCAATACCCCCCCTTGCAACCTTAGAGCGCTTTTTGTTTTTGTCCATGTCCCATATTTGTTTGCTTCGATGTTGGGCAAAGATGCTCTCGTCCACGTAGAGCTCTCGGTAGTAGGAGTTGTTCTGACACACCTGCGACGCCAGCTTGATGTGCTGTTGAAGAAGCGCTTCTGGATGGCAGTTTGGTGCGCTGATGCTGTACTTGGCCACGAACCTTCGCGCCGGCACGAAAAGCGAGCCTCCAAAAGCGAGCTACCCTATGGGGGATGGAAGCCAGCATAGCTTGAGGAAAATCTGTGCCAGGCTTGACAGCACCTGCAATTCCCAACATAAATCAAATGCTGCCAGTGCGTGACTGCTGTGGGAGAACTGATCCTTGTTCAGCCTTCCAACGCCAACCGCCACCTATCTCTGCGTCTCAAATCCAAAGCTCGGTTCACCACTTTGAGGAGCGTGCAGCGTGAGGACTGACTGAGCCTCCCATTGATGCACTGTCCAAGGAGGAGGGTTGGTACCGGTTGGGGCGTGCTCACCTGCCGAAAAGCACCTGGACACCGAAGGAGAGGGGAGACAGGGGAGACCCTCAGACATTTCTAGTCAAATTCGGTCCGGGCAAAGATTGAACATCCCTTCCCTGACGAAATACAGCCAAACCACTAAAATTATCATTCTCGATTTCTCCTTTTTCGGCTTGGGCACTCTCCGTCCACCCCGGCCCCAGCGACTCCCGGACTCTCCCGGCTCGCTCCCGGCTCCCAGCTCTCGGGCGATTCGATTCCAGGAGGCTCATTGGCGTACTCGATGAACATCGCGGCGCACACCGGCGAGTTGGCCCTGTCCCGAAGCCGCGACAAAACGCACGGCCGGCGGCCGTCAGGCCCGGAGGGCGTGTGGCAGTTTCGTGCCTTGTTGAGAAGGAAGCACAAAAAATCCAGCCAGAAAAGCCGTGCTTTAAAACTTGAAAAGAGTGCATGAACTTAACTTAGCCCCAGAATTGGCTTGCAACAAGTTCTTTTTTGTTGTGGGACCCTAAGGCAATCATCATTTCCGGCCGCCTTTTAAGGTCCGTTCAAAGTCCCCACGCACACACCCAATGTTACCCTTACGGTTTGACCCTTTATTGTCACTGCCTCAAGGGAAGCCTTGGTAATGAATCTCCGGCTGGCTCGGTTTCGTGCACTCCCCCACACCCCCAAGTTTCTGGGAGGCACATATGTTATTGCTATACAAAAAGTGTGGGCCTGCTTTTGCCCACAACGAGGGCAACTCACTGAGGACTTCTTCCGTTCCTTTGACAGAAGGCCCTTCCAACCTGAAAAACGCCTTCTACGTTGAAGAAGAATTATGTATGATGGGGCCATCTTGCCGGGCATCGCCCCTTGGCACAAACACGAGAGCGGCACGGATTTGCGTTGAAACGTTGGCTGGAAACCCCACATGGCCCGGCATCGCACGAGTTGTCTTTCCAAGCTGCAGCACATGCACCATCCGGTCGCTGTCCAGCACAAACACCTGCGCAACAGGGCTTGGTATGAGCAAGGCTTGCCCACTCCCAGGGAGTCGCTGTGTAACCGCCAGAATGCTGCAAGGGTCGCGAGGGTTTCAACGAGTCCGTGAGCCTTCCTTGCCTTGCAATTGGCGATTCTCCCATCGCCCTAGCGACCAGGTGGTTGCGCCCCTGCTTCAGCACGGTTTTCTAAAGCCGCCTGCATCAAATGGGTATGGGTCGAAATGAAGCCAGCAGGGGACCGCAGGTTTTGGTCCATGTTCCTGTTTACCAGGGTTCCACTGTGGGTACATATTTTCGACCCACAGCCAAATTGACACGCCGCTCTGCATTTGCCCTTCCCAGAAAACCCCCCGCAGAGCTGTGGCGTCACTCGCGCCTCGCAGAAGGACCTGGCGGAGAGCCTGCAATCATGCATCACGGCCTCCACATAGAGGGCGACCTGGCGAGGGCCGGCGAGTGTCTGGCAGGGGCCACCAAGTCCGATCTTTGATGGTTGGGGGACCCATGCTCAATGGAACGATGCTGGAACGATGCTCGGGTTCATGGCTGATTCGCATTGAAAAGGACGCGATTCAGCTCACGCGATGAAACTCGGCAAATCAGACATGGCCATGACTCCCTATTATTTTGACTTTTCAAGTGGGGAGCAGGGACTGCTTACCGTATAGAAAGAAAGGCAATTTGTAACAGCAAGTCTCTCTTCATCCGCCTGGATTGGCTTTTTGGGAAAAAACAAAATACAGTGTGGCACTCTGCCGTGACGAATGCAACAATCCACACAAATGTCCATCGTCTGGCTGATGTTGACGGCTTGCTTTTAGCTTAAGTAAGAGTCACAAAACACTGGGTGAAGAACTGCTCACAATGATAGACTTGTCGCAAACCACCCGCCCTTCATTGTGCAATTGCACCCCTTCATTGCACCTGCCACTATAATCACGCATCTGCTAAAAGAGCAGCGACCCTGCTGTAGTGAAGCGATAGGCTCCGACGATTTGCTTTGGCATCCAGCGAGCCAATGCTATTGCAAACTTGGCCCAGTGTCGCCCAGGTTTGCAATAGCATTGGCTCGCTGAGGCTCTCTGAGGGGGTGGCCTAAAAATTGGGATCCACTTGTTGATGGATCCACTTGTTGATGGATCCACTCGTTGATATCCGCAGCAAGTGGAGTGGTCCACAAAACGGCGCTGCCTCAGAGAAGTATCGGTGGGGCCCGGAGAAGTGGAACTCGCCCTTGGCCTCGGTGCCTGTGCTCGACGACCGCGGAGGTGCGCCGGAGCCGAAGCTGCATTGCTTTGTTGGCCCGATGAATGGGGTTGAGACTACATGGGCATTTCCACTTTTCGGCTGGTGCACACATTCCTTTGGTGGAAGCTGGAACAACTTTGTTAGAACACGTTTTGGGGTCTCCAAGGTTTGGGCCGGCTTGGAGGATTGGGCTTGGTCCCAACCAACTCTGGACAACAACTAACCCGAGCCACCAACAAAGTGTTACCTGAGGATAAGTCGCTTGTCAAAATCCGACCATCTTTCCGGATTCATGCAGGACTGGTTGTTCCGCTGTAAACAACCGGCGTTTACATTCCATTTCCGGATTTGCTTCTCGTCTTTCTCTATGTTCCTCCTTCAGCTGCTCCATGGACTTCCCTTGGGGCCTTTAACGGGTTGTTTCTGTGGGGGGGGGAGGGGCATGGTTGCAATCACTCGGCAAATGTTGGCTGGCATCATGTCATGTGTGTGTGTGTGTGTGTGTGCGCTTTTCTTTCTTGTCTAGCTCCTTGGCCTCCTCAAAACATGTCGTGTCAGGGAAAATTTAAGGAGAGGGTCCGTGTGGTCGTTTCAAGCGGGAACTGCCCCGCGCTCCTGGACATAATATAAATGCATGTGCATATGTGTATATATATATATATGCATCTATATGCATAGTGCCGCACAATTGTTGGTATGGTGGCCAGGCGCAAGATTCCTAGGCGTAAGGCACCGTAAGGTGGAACTATCTATGAGCGAGTGCTTGCAAATGCCTTTCTGCACGTCGAAACAAGACAAAGGGGAAAAATGCACAGCCAAACTTACAGTTGGGCCGGAAGCCTAATCGCCTTGTGCTTGTTGAACTGAACGCCTCAGGCGCTTCAACACAAAGGCCTTCTCAGATCCGTGGTTTTACAAGCTGTCTCCAGACCATAAATTGCTTTACATGAACATGGCCAAAACCAAGGGAAAACAGGCACAAAGCCGGGTTGCCCACAAGAGCCTTAGCTTTGCTTCATGGCACCTTGTTGGGATTGCCTTTTGTGTTTTGGAGGGGGGGAGCCACAGTTTGGGCCCAGCCCTCTTGATTCTAACGCGTGTCAGATCAAAGCAGGTCCCCACACGACCTACTTGTGGAATGAACGTTTACATAATATACGGTTGTTGCACAAACTGTGATGCATTATTCAGTGCCCAAACAGCCTCGCAGTGGACATAGTTCGCCTTGTTTGATTGCCGCAATTGAACCGGTGACTGGAGCAAAGGAACCTGCCTTGTGTCAGCGCCATCCCGAACTGAAAGTGAGGGCCCCACTAACTTCTATTTACCCACCAAGAGAAACTATGGAAATTGTAGAAAAGGAACTTAGTGTATAACGCTAGGGTGGGGATGGTGAGGATCTGGGGGCTGTGTCTCATTTGGCTGCCGAATCATTCTGTGTCAAGCTCGGCTGCGTGGCCCCCAGCGCTTTTCGAGCTTCGTCACTTCGCCGTGACATGGTGAAACCCGCGGGTGAACAGCTGCTATGTACAACTCCCAGCTGTGGCCAAAACTCCGAGTGAAGCAAGACAAGGTGGGATGCTAGGACATACTGTGGATGGAGGAAATCCTGCACCACTTAGAAACCATGGGAAATAATTGTTCGTTGGTATTTACAAAAAATCATGGTTCCAGGACTTCTTAGGTGGTGCGAAATGGATTTCGTCCATCCACAGTAAGTGCATTACCCGAGGCTCGGATGCGTTTCCCTGGGGTGCTGTTTAACTAGAGACCGGGAGGGTTCCGTTGGCTCCCCGCGTGCCGACCACGCAGCCTCCCGAATTGGTGGCGCGCGGCCGCGCGTGCACGTGGTCAAGGCTGTTCAAGGCCAGACTTGCACAGGTAGGCGTGGGCGGCCTTCATTATCGGGGAGTTGTACTGCAGGAAGAGCCGGATCTTTTCCAAGCAGTCCTCAAGCGAGCCACCCACTTGACCCAACATGTGGCAAAGCAGTCCTGCCCGGACAAGGCTGCCCTGATGCTCATGATGACGATCATCATCATGATAATGATGCTGATGATGATGGTGATGATGATGGTGATGATGGTGATGATGGTGATGATGGTTGATGGTGATGATGGTGATGATGGTGATGATGATGATGGTGATGATGGTGATGGTGATGGATGGTGATGGTGATGGTGATGGTGATGGTGATGGTGATGGTGATGGTGAAGGTGATGGTGATGGTGATGGTGATGGTGATGGTGATGGTGATGGTGGTGATGGTGATGATGATGATGATGATGATGATGATGATGATGATGATGATGATGATGCTGGCGCTTCTGCTGCTGCCGCCGCCGCCGCTGCTGCTGCTGCTGGTGGGACGCTTGATGAGTAGAGGGCCGAAATCTGTGTTCGTTTCCTTTTCCACATCAACAAGAGGAGGTTGGTTATCCTTGCATCTTTTGCAAAATTGGAGGCCCTCCATGAGCATGCATCTACTGCTCCAACTTGCCTGAGACTCACAGAGCTTGCCGTGGGGATCGTCACAGGAAACATCCGTCCAAGAAACATGGAAACAGGTGCTCCTTCCGTAGATCTTGTCATTGTGTGCTTTAACAGGGGCCCTGAAAGGATAATAACTTGCTCCCCCCGCCACCCCACCCCCCACCCCAAGCCCCCTCACCATGACCATTGTCTAGTTCAAGCAAGGTTGGAAAATATAGTCACCCCTTCTTTGTGTTGTTCACCCCTACAAACCCTCGAACAGTGCTAACCTCCCCTTCAAGACATGAAAAAGGAACTCTAAACTACCAAACATATTGCCAATACTTCTTCCTCTACTAGGTTCGTTCATACTGCAGAAAAAAAATACTGCTGTTTGCTTGAATAGTCAAGGTTTGACAAGCCAACAAAACACTCCCATCAAGGCCCCTAAGAAAACAACCTTTCCCCGATTACTCATGGCCCTCTCCAGTCCGATTGGCCAAGACAAGGAGAAAACCAAAGAAGAAGGAGGACCGGGGAACTATAGGGTGGTGGGGCGAAATTACAAAAACTTGACTGTCTAGACCTTGACAACCTTCGCGGGAGGGGGGCTGCTAATCAGAGATAGTCATTGCAAGGGGATGCTTTGAATCATTGTTTGCATAGACTGGCCCTATCTCCTTCTTGCTTTTATGCGAAAAGTAGGACATGTGGTTAAATGAACCCAGGCTTTGGCCCGAAAGGACACCACACGAGTTGGATGGTTTCTCTCGGGGTCATGAGCCATTTCTCCTTCCCTGCATCAATTTCGCACCGATCGGGTTGCCTTTCGAGGGCCCGTCCGACACCACCGTCCGACGGTCCTCGCCGTCCGAGGAGAGCGATGCCAGGAAGGCCTCCCGAGACGGGGCCGCCACGAGGCCGGTGCTGATCAGGTTGCCTCGGCTTGCCGAAACCCAGTCCTAGGGAGTTTCTGCTTTCCTTGGTGCCATTGGCAGGGAATAACCATCTCTTGTGCTTTCCTTAAAAGGGTCAATTCCTGGGTTTATTCCAGCACCCTACAAGTCGAGGGGCCCCGCTTTCCACCAACCACAAACAGGGAAAGAGCTGAAGGTCTGCTAAATAAAATTTGTTTAACACAGCTGGGATGTGCAAATCCCACAGCCAGCCCAGCTGCGTGTGAAGAAGTTGTGGTGTGGCCGCAGTGTGGACTCGTAGGCCTGCTGCACGCAGCGTGCCAGCGGTTGGGGACCCTCCACCAGCAAAGCCAAGGTCCGTTCCAGCAGCCGAAGGGAACGCGTCAGCCATAGAAATCCTTGGAGTGGAAGGGAATACGGGGCTGGAGTGAACATCTTGATAAGTTCGCAAAAATAGTTCCGGTCCCTTCAAAATTATTGAAGGAGTAAATGTCACTTTCAGGGACCCAGGAATGTTTATCTAATTAAGTCAACTTGAGGGTGAAAAACATGCGCAAACTAGAACCATGGAAACGCGGGCTGAGCCGGGCATGCGGTCCAACATTCTAGGTAAGACTAGGTTCACTAAATGCGGCAAACAGGATCTTGCATTACCAGCTCTACCCACTCCAAGCATGTTTGAGAAGCAATTTCACCAACCCCATACCAATCCCACAGGATTGAAAATAATACAAGAAGACAGTCGCACCCAACCCAACACCAGCCAACCCAATCCAACCAAGAAACGAGAGCAACAACAAAAACATCAAGCGCGCAAGGCAAGCGAGCGATAAAGAACCTTCTTAGAAGGGTGTCTGATCCAGTGGAGTAGGGGATGGCCAATTCCTTCTCTCCTCATTCCTGCTCCCTTTATCTAAGCTTTGCCCCCCATCCAAGGTGGAAAAGATTGGCAATCGTCCATCTTCAGTGCGCCTGCGAACACTCACTACCGTCCGTTTGCTTAAGCTCCCTGGAAAATTTAAAAATATGCCCAGAGTAGTGAAGATCGACTCCCTCGAAAACCGAGGGGAACCAACAAGCAACATTTATTTCAACAAATGGTATGGGTCAAAATCAAACAACCAGTGGCAGGTTTAGTCTTTGGTTCCATTTACCAGGGCAACCCATTTGCGGTACGCATTTTTGACCAGCCAAACGGAAGCTAGCGAAGCTCAAACCATCCAGAGTCGCCCATGGCGCTGCTTCCCTCCACGCAGGCCGCCTTGTAGGACCCCGCGGCTGCTGCCTCGGCGTCCACCATCTGCTCCAAAGTGGCGCTGGTGGTCACGTGCTGATGGATCATGCGGATGTTCTTCCGCATGTCCGCCTGAGAGAGGAGAGCAGGGCTGTGGGATCAAGGGCTTATCCCCACTTCTGTGATAGGGAATCTCGCTTCATGTGGCTTCATGTGGGGGGGTTCGTCTTCGGGAAACCCCATTTTGTATGAGGAGAGCGAGGCCCGGATTTTTCGTTGGGCTGGGGAAACAGGGGAAGTTCGCGCCTGAAAAAGGAAAGGGAAGCAGGGAAGCAAGCCCCGGGTGCTGTTTTTTTGGGGTTGGTTGGGCTGGGGGAACAGGGGAAGTGACGGTTCGGAGATGACGAGAAGACGATAGAAGGAAGGGGCCTCAAGAAATACATTGTATTCGGAGAAGGGGCTATTTCAACACCAGCCTCCAAGCCTCTAAGCGCCTGGGCAGCCGCCGCGCAAGCCTCTAAGCCTCTAAGCCACTAAGCCACTTCAAGCACACAAGCCCACAAGCTTCTAAGCCTCTAAGCCTCTAAGCCTCTACGCCTCTAAGCCTCTAAGCCTCTAAGCCTCTACGCCTCTAAGCCTCTAAGCCTCTAGGCCTCTAGGCCTATTCCAAGCGTCTGAGAGGTGAGTGTCTGTTCCAAGCTCCTATGCGTCTAAGCGCCGCTGAGCGTCTGTTCCAAGTGCCTGAGCCTGTACGTGCCTAAGCATGCCTAAGCTCAGTAACATGCTCCGGAACGCGCACGCTGCGACGCGACGCTCAGATACCCCCTGTAATTGCGTGCGGATTGAAGCCTCTGTCCTTTGGCCGGCCAATGGCGGGCACTCTACCTGATTCGGACGCTGACCTCCAGGTGCGCCACGGATGAGCGAGCCCTGAGACAGGTGAGCCTCCCTCCGACAGTTGGCTCCTGCCCTGTTGCTGGCCAACCGTGACTCCCAAGACGACAAGAAACGCTCCCCGCCGAGCGCCTAAGCCTCTAAGCGCCCAAGCCTCTAAGCGTCTAGGCCTCCAAGCGCCTGAGGTTTGGAGGCTTGGAGGTTTGGCTCAAAGGCTTAGAGGCTTAGAGGCGTGCGTCGAATTTCAGACCCCTCTTCCCATCGCACTGGAGAATTAGGATTGATTAGAATGGGGCGGTGGGGTCCGTAAACACCACATTTAGACAAAGGAAAGTTTCTGTTTTGCTCCTCATGTTACGTTAGCAAGCTAGCCAGGCACCCACATCCGAATCCTCAAGACTCAGCTGAGGGACCGACCCGTTGTTTGCCTCTCTCTGCAAGCTTGCTGCCTTTCACACATGTCCGCATGAGCTTCGATCTGCCCCAGAGATGTGTGGCATCTGCGAATAACACGCGGCAGCGCTCATTTCCGGTTCTACTCTTTTTATGGTGCACCCCTGGTTTTCTAACCTAGTTGCCACTTGCCAAGGCAGAAGACAGACCGCCTGAAGAAAAGGTTCCTCTTACAAGGGGAACCTAAGTTGGATTGCAAGTTTAGTGGGTGGGGGAGAAGTTGATCCAGTTACGCTTATTTCCGATTTCCCTCTTGAACCCATCTTCCACGAGCAACCGGGAAGCACACTCCCATACTTTTCCGCAGGTAAACATCGGATCCCAACAAATGTACTCCCCGTTAAGTGTTATAATATATATATATATATACGTGTGTGTGTGTGTGTACGGTATACATATATCTGTGTTTGTAAATGCTATGTACATATGTATGCCTTGCGGTTGGAAGGATAAGTGCTTCGCGATTTCCTCCGTGCCTGGAAGCCTTGCAGCAGCTTCCCGAAGACGTCGAAAACGGCGATGGTGCAGCTGGCCGCCTTTGCAATGCACGGGCCCTTCCCACCCCAAAGGCTCTCTGAACGATTGGAGGGGTTCTTGAAAGGTTCTGCTGCGGGGTAGGTGGACCCTTGCGGCCCAAGGATTCTCCTTAAATTTGAGGGGGGACCCATCCCATGGCAAAAAAACACAAACGCACACAATACGACCATGAACTTCCACGTCTTAAGGATGTGACATGGGATGCAGCCACGTGAATACGTCGCAGTATCAATGAAACTAGTACGGTCAGTTTTGGTCTTAACGCCTACAGAACGACTTGCAGCCGCCTTACCAAACGTTGAACTGACTCAGCTCGATCGAATTTACACGATGCGGATGCAACGTCCGCAAACGAGCGCAACTTACCCATACACTGATTACCTCCCCCCACCCACCCCCCCACCCACCCCCGCCCGGGGGTAGAGAGGCCACCCGGCCGAGCCGCCCACAGGAAGCTGGCGGCGCAGGCTTTGGCGCTCGCAGCCTGCCAGGCGCCCGTGGCCTCGTCCAGGATGGAGCGCCGCACCGAGGGACCCGGGCCCACGGCTTGGCCCGGGCCCTGGCTGACAGCCTGGGTGTTTTCAGGCACACGCCCCAAGAAGCAACCCGGCGGAAAAGGAACCCGTGGAAAAGAAACGGGGACAGCACATGACACCACCCCCCTTTACGGAAAGAACATGTTTCCAAGGTTTCGAGGCCGGGGAACAAAACTGCGGAATTCGCCATCTGGCAGAAGGAGAAAGGATCGATTGTGAACAGATCAAGCGGGCTGCCTCAAAGATGGGCGTCCGTCCGTGCCAAGCCCTTGTTCGTTGTGTGTTTTGCTTGTTGTTGCTCCTTCTTTCTTTTCTTCTTTTTTTTTTTTTTTGGGGGGGGGGGGGAATGGCATCGCGCGTCTGTCCAGGCCCTAAATAGGTGGTCGCTCACCCATCCGCTGATTGGTGGCCCATAAACGGGTTCCTCCAACCGACTATAAGGTTCCAGCTTTTGCCCCAAGCTTGGCAGCTTAGACTACTGCAAAATGGTGGCTTCCAGGGAAACAAGCCAACAAGCCGAGACGGAACCACAACTAAAGAAAACTGGCCCATTTCTGAACCCTGGCCTGCACCATTTGCTCCTTGCGGACGTCCCTTGCAGCATTCCCCGTCTCCGGCTGCCTGTTGTCTCCTCGCCCAGCCTCCTCCGCCTCGTCCTGGCCACGAGGCATATAACTTCTCCACGGCCATTTTTTGAACAGAAGCCACCGACAATCCCGTTCCATTGCCCCCGCCCCAACGAGCAAACAAGATACTGGGTGGTCAAACCCAGTATCCAAAGCTGCCCAAATCCTCCCAAAACAGAAATAGTTCTGATGGCCGCCTTGTGCGCTGCATAAACACCCGGAAAAGGGGACCGTTTCTTTTTGGGATTCATTCCACGTGTAGTGGGCCAAAAAAAACAAAAGAAAAACACGTGAGGGCGACCTCCGCCTGGCAAAAGCGCGGGTCCCCGTCTTCCATGAGTTCCTGCAACCCTTAGGTCCTACTATAATGGGTTGGGGATTCTATGGAAGGGGCACTTTATAGACAAAGGTCCTACCAAACCGGGGGGGGCGTTTGGATCTGGGATTCCGCCCCCCCCCCCCTTTCTTTTTTTTTCTCGGTAGGGGGGGGAACGGTGGCGTCTCCCCTCCCGTCCTCGGACCCGCAGGGCGTCCGGAAGCCCTCGGAGCCCTCCGGCTCCAGCAGCGCCGCCAGCTCCGTCCGCTTGCGGTCGAAGGCCTCGGCGTCCCGCGCCGCGTCCTTCCACAGCAGGCTCCGGGTGTTCGCCGCGTGCCAGGCCGCGCAGAGGGCGAGCTCCTGGAAGCTCCACCGGGGAGGTGTTCCCTCAGAATGGCTGGGGATGTTCAAGGGTTTGGTGGTAGCGGGTTCTTCCCTCTTGGTTTGGAGTGTTTGGTGGAGGTTGCGAAGTGGGAGGCCAAAGTGTATCCTCACGAACCAGGGGTTCAAAGCAACCACCAACGGAGGGCAGTTTTTGGGGGAAGACCTCCCCCTTTGGTTGAGGGGTGGAGACGTCCCAAATTGTTCGGAGGGAAACCTTCACTGGGCAGGACTGACCACTGGAAACCTGTTCTTGAGCACCGTTCCATTTTCGTTTTGCCCTGAGCTGTGGCTAGTGCTTCGCCGCAAGCTTTTGCACCCCTCCTCTCCACCAGACCTAGCTCCCCCAGGTGGACCCCGGCTCTCGCCCCCGATCCTATCAACCTGGTGGACTCCTGGTCATCAAATTGGGCGACGTTCCGCCCCCCTCCCCTTCCTCCCTGCATAAGGTACCGTCTCAGACATACTAAAGCCCCCAAAGCCAATGGGCGTTCGTCATGTTCTCCAACATAACCCCCAAACCTCCAAACCAATCCCACCCACCCCCAACCGGCCAACCAACCAACGAAGCAATCCATCCCCCCCCCCACCCCCCCCCCAACCCCCGCCCCAACACCCCCCCAACACCCCCCCAACACCCCCCCAACACCCCCCCCAACACCCCCCCAACACCCCCCCAACACCCCCCCCAACACCCCCAACACCCCCCAACACCCCCCAAAAAAAACCCCCAAAACCCCCCAAAACCCCCACAACCCCCAACCCCCCAAACCCCCCCCCCCACAACCCCCCCACAACCCCCCCACAACCCCCCACAACCCCCCCCACAACCCCCACAACCCCCCCACAACCCCCCCCCCTCCTTGATCGCCTGCGCCAGCTCAGGGCTCGTCAGCGACGCCACCAACTCCGAGTAGAACTCCAGGCCCCGCAGGTCCCTGGCCGAGTCCCGGAAGAAGAGGCGCCGCTGGTTGGCCGTGTGCCAGGCCGCGTTGAAGGCCATCTCCTACCAAAAAACCACCCGCACCCGGAAGCAACGGGGAAGATGTTGCTTCTGGGTCGAGGAGTGGGACAATCCACCTGATTGATCCAGCTGCTCTCACCTCGCGACGGGTGCAACAAGTAGCGTGTGCAAGGTTCGTCGTGCCCTTTCCCCGCTACCGCAGGGGGGCAGGTGTGGTGGGTCCCCACTTCAATTTGACGCAATGGAACTGCCAATGAAACTCCGGTGATCACCGTTCACCTCCTCATGTCCGCCCATCCCAGCCCTCCTTGACCGCGTGCGCTGTGGAAGGCATCACCTGCGAGTCGCTCGGAGATTGTGGGATATGCCAAGCCAAAACGTCGCGACCTTTGGTTTTCGACATGTTGGAGAGCCTACGCCAAAATACGAGTACTGCAGAGCTTGGTAAACCAGTCGGGCTGTCGAATACAAATCATGGGCTTGTGAACGAGCGGCCGCCATCACAAACATAGATGTTAATGTTCTGCCATCGCTGAGGCTTACTTCTGCAACGGTTGCATTCTTTGCCATTGCTACACCCTGATCACCCAAGTGCATACCCTCAACAGCATAGAGCTCTTCAAAAGAACCCACGGTGAGCAAGTCACAAACTTGGAGCATCACATGAGAAAGGCCCGGTAAGGTGCTCAAGCCAATCATTGACAGTCCCTTGTCGGGGTGAATGGGTTGCTGTTTCAACCCCCTGGATTTCCAACAAGAAACGGGCGCGGACTTCCAATTTCCCTTCACCTCACGACAAGGACAAGGGAGGTCGCTGGATGTGTGTTCTTGACGGGGACCACTTTAAAGGAAAACAAAGGCAAGCCGAATCAAGCCGACCAAGCACATGTCCAAACTGCGGGTGTATTTATGCGGTTGCCCGCGGGCTCTCGCAAAACGGAGTCTCCAAAATTTTGGGCACCCATCTTTCCGGTCTTCAATGGAGCTCCCCTTCACACTTTCACTGGGGGGGCACATCCAAATGGAGCTATGCGGCTATGCATGTCCTTGTTTGATCATCCTCTTTTAATGCAGCCACATCAGAGACCCAGAAGCCCACCAGCAAGCAAGGAACCTGACTGGGCGGTCTGTGGCAGCCACGTCCCTCCAAACGGAACCACTAAAGAAGGTAGACTCTGTTTCGTTTCCTTCAAAACATAACAAGCGACACACCCATGCTGACAACAGGGGTTGATTGACATATGGTTCAGACCGGACCCAGTGGATACATCCGGTTAAAAATCCCAAAGCCAGCCACGTTCCAAGTGGTTCCTTTTAACTCGAGGGATCCTTGAATATTGCTTTTGCCATCTTAAAGGTCCCTTATTGTGACTCTTTTCATTGGGTCAGACTCGCACCATAGTTTGCAAAGTCTATGCACCCGCACGTCCTACTCACCTTACTACTTGGGTGTTTGATTCGCCAAGTTACTAAGAATTGTTGGCAACCTGCGTTATCACCCACTCACGCGTTTTTCCTTTTGGGTCTAACCAACTGTTATCAGGAGGTTGCACCCGTAGCTAACCACTAACTTCGCAACGAACATCCAACTAGTTGGGTGTCCTCAAATCCCCTGCTAAAAGTTTCACTTTTAGTGGGATGAATTCGGAAATCCCCCACTAAACACAAAAGCAATCCAAATCTCCCATAAATCCTAAAACATACAAAGCCAAACCTCTAAAAATATCAACAGCCAAAAAGCGGATGGCCTTCGGGAGTGCCGAAATAAGGGTCAATCCACACCCCCGGACCCTATGGAGAACCCCGACCAATTCCTCAGGGGCCCTTGAAAACAACCAGTTTTGACCCAAACGCCGTTTCCACCACGTCCGCAACTCCTTTCCGGCGATCGCCTGCGCCAGGCGCTGCGCGGCCTCCTCGGCCAACCGTCGGTCCCGGGCCGCGGACTCCCAGAGGAAGGAGCGCTCGTTGGCGGCGTGCCAGGCCGCGTGGATGGCCACCTGGCGGGATGCGGAGAGGTCGGCGCTGCGAGAAGGGACGCTTGGCTTCTGTTGAATGAGCCGTGAACAGAAACCAGGTGGCAAAGCGCCGCAATCTTACTCGTTCTATCGCGGCCTTAGCGGTTTTGCAGCTGTTGTACGTCTACCTGATTTTCCCTAGGTAGTCCTCCGGAATCATTTACGCAGTATCATCTGGTCTTCCAGCAGTCTTGCACTACTCTTGCCGTTGTCCTCCTCAAGTCGTCTTGCACGACTCTTTCCAGTGGTTCTCGCATAGCCTCTTCTGTTGATGCATGGTGAGGCCTATCCCTACTACACGACATTCGGTGGGCTAGAGGTTTACTGGCAAGGCGTCCATAATCAATGGCTATCATGCAACTGGGTAGTCTAGGGGAGGCTTCCAAAATATGGATGAGTCTCCTACAAGTTGCTGGACCCCCTGTCCAGGGAGCCATAGAAGGAAAGCCCCACAATAAACCGTGTGCAGAGTTCCCAGGCAAACCAACTATTCATCGCCATGATGCCCCGGATGAGCTTCCGTGGGGTGCGTGATGCACTAGCGGGTGTCAAGGCTCAGTCGAACAAGGCTGGAGCGTGCGTGACGCCCAAGAATGCCTGAAATATCTCGCACCTTTAGCACTGATGCACTTAAAAGCATCTAACAGCCACCAGAGCATGTATAGTGACACTTCCCTAAACTCCCCAAGCCTCTCCAAACAGAAGGACCAAAAAGGGCTCATGCGCTGTGCGCTTCTGGCGCCCCTGCTGTTCCTTGAAGCGGGACCCAACCAGCCGCGGATTTCCCCCAAGCGCGGCGCCTGCTGGATGGCTTCCGCCGCCATGCCGCGCCCGGCGATCCGTGCAGCTCGCGCGACATGGGCTTGAGGCTCAAACTTGGCAGGGCCGTGTGCGGTTTCAGAGGTCCAGGGCAGTAGATGGCAGCATTCCAATTAAATAAAGTATGCTTGCAAAGGTGATACGCCAAGAATCCATTCGTAAACCAGGGTTTCGGAGGACCTTCTGAAACTCCAAAGGAATGCCTCCGGTGCGTGAGACTGAAGGGTTTGCAAGGTCAGCAGGCAAAATCGGGGTCTGGGCGGTCCTCACGAATGGGAATTTTGTCAAACAGCATTGTAGCAAGCACATGGCTGACTCTCAATTTGAAATGGGCACAACAGCTACATTGACAAGTACCTGGCAGTGCGCGGATTCGCCCCGCGAAACAGAAGCGGCCTCGCCTACTGCGAAGTCGCCATGACTGCTCATGTACCTTGGATAGCACATATTGTCCCCTGACTGAATCCATGATACAATGTTTCTTCCTGCCGAGCCTCTCCCTGCCTTGGCCGTAGGCACACGGCACATCAAGTAAAATAATTAATTTGGCAGGCCTTTTGGATGACACTACTCGAACTGAAAACGGGTAATATGTGTGTGTGTCGTCGCCTTTCCTCTGCTCGCTGCCAGCCGGGCTGCATCATCTCCGCTAACGCGCCCATGTGGAACACCACTTCCCCCTGCCAGCTATGTTATCCCCACATGCAAAGTCGTTGGCGGCTGGGACCCCCCACAAGCTGATCCAAGGGTGTGGGGAAGTCAGTGGCAACGACACAACTGGATGATCTCTGCAGCCGGGTGGTCGAATATTGACGTCTTCGGCCAAAACGCGCTCTGAAAGAATGCATCTTCCGCCTTGCTAAGCTATGGGAGGTGCCTGTGAAGACCACATGGCAATGAAGGGGCATGGCACCGGTCGCCTCGCAGTAAAGCTGCTTCTCCAGGCTTCTGCAAAGGTCTGCGAAGACGTTCCTGCTCGACGTCTGCGGGTCGGCCCGAGGACTTGAGGTGCCGGGGGGTTTACAGGGGAACAAGCGTGAAACCAGGAGGGGCGTCCCGCATCGCACCATATGAAGCTGGCAATGGCGGCCTGTGTGAAGCGTTTGGCGTCCAACACACCATTGCCAGCTTACTTTTCAGCCTCTGGGCGGCCTCCACATCTTGCTGGAGTCATCTTTAAACATGTAGACCGGGCACCTTTGAACTGGCGCCAAGGGGCGGGAAGAATGTCAGAGTGAGCCAGAAGATCGGGTGCTCCTCCAAGAAGCCTTGGGCGTCAGTCGGCGCAAAGCATAGGCATTTCGACCCCCCAAAAGACGCCTCTGGCGGGTGCATGGCAAGGGTCCCGCCGAGTGGGGAGGAATTCCGTCTAGGATGGGACAAACAGAGCTGATTCATCCTAGGTCAACACCGCCATTGTCGCGAACTGAGGAATGGAGGTGTTTTTTTCAGGGTACCGGTTTTGGCTTTGTTTCAAGGGCAAACCAAAAGGACACCACCAATCTTGGTGGTTCCCTGCTTGAAAAAAAAGAAGCAGCAGGATCAAGAGGCTTCAATGTCAGGAATGATTGTCAGTTTTGCATGGGTCGCGAATGTGGTCTTTGTTGGCCCTACCAAACAGTTGGCATGGAGGAATGCGTGCAAGCAGCATTGTCTCGTTTCTGTTTAAGTCGCTGGGCCTTCAAATTCAAGCTCTACAACTACGCGAACCCTGGAAAACCCGACAATTCCAATGGAATTCAAGTTCTGCAATTGGAACCTCTTTTTGTTGCCCCCCCTCCCCCCCGTTCCGTTTTTGCTGCAAATATCTGCCCGGCACTGGCTGGGCCACGACCAGCCACATCCCATCTGCGCCGCTTCGGCCGCGGGGCTTCCCCGCTGGAAGGTCGCGAGCTCTGCCTCCAGCTTCGGAGAGATGAGGCTCTCGTCGTAGGCGATCCTGCGGCGCTTCTGGGCGGCGGGTGGGGGTCTCAGGGATCACCCAGGTCGGCAAAAAGTGGGTCGCTTTTTGCGGGTGAGAAGGGAAAAAGGAAATTGTTTACTGGTGAAAAGGGAAAGCTGCGGAAAAATAAAAGGAAAAAAGGCAAGAATGGCTTGCAAGGTCAGAAATGGCTGAAACTGCCGCATGAGCGGTTTCCTTGTGCCCAGAAAAAATCCTCAAAAAAGGACACACACCGCTGTGGATAAAGCTCCTTGGGCCATTCGGGCAAATGTGTAAAAATCGCAACCCCATGCTACAGCATGCTACGGCCGCAATGCCCACCCAAGATGTGTGTGCTCATGCTCATCAGGCACAAATTCCATCGTCTTAGCTGCAAAAACCTGGCTACAGGGCAAACGTGAAGCAAGCTAGGGGCCGAACCCTAAGATATGGTATGCAAGAAGCTTAACTCCTCGGCTGCTTCGTGGGTAAGTGAGGAAGCAGGGCCTGCTACTTTGATCGTTACCCCCTGTAACCTGTGCCTGGCTGTCCCGGTATCAGGGTCATACATCAATCCAAATCATTCTGACCTGTCCTCGACCTACTTCTTCAAGTCATGTGGGGGTTGCTTTACCGAGGAACCCTTTGGTGGACATCATTTAGGTGGGGGGTTCATGTGTACCCACCACTTTTGAGGTGGTCATTCGCTGCAAATAATCTTCCGTGCGTCAGGTTCCTTGTGCCTGTGCCAAGCCGGGTCCGACACACCGAGCACGCGGCGTACCAGTCAAGCGAGCTAAAGCTGCAAGCAAGACGCGGAGAATGCCGAGCCATCTTGTAATCTGCATAGCTCATCACGCGCATAACTAACCTGGCTCACGTCATTGCCCAAGTTCGGCTGCTACGTTTTTTTTCTTTTTTTTTTTCTGGCGTTGGTATTGTGTGTTCATTCATGTCATGGTTCGCTTCCGTGCGTGCAAGCCATTCAAGATTCTAATGACCTCAAACACTATGTTTGCTTCATGTTCAACTAACATAATAATGAAAATAGGACAGGCATTGAGAAGAGGTGGGTGAGCAAATGTATCTCTCTCTCTCCCTCTCTATCTCTATACTCTGACATTAGGTGCGATGTGTCGGTCATTGTCGTCTTTGCTCATTGTTTTTAATGTGCTAGTTTATCGTCGAAAATCATATATCATTGATTGATGAATCCCTACTGTCATGTTGGCCATTCACCTTGTCAATGTTCCAATCTTGAAGTAAGTGCCCTTTGCTCATCCAAGCCGCCAAGCCATGCAAATAAAAGATAAAAGAGGTGAACGGATTCTCTTGTCTTCATCATACTGTGGATGGACGAAATCCTGCATCACCCAAGAAACCCTGCAATGATGATTCCCCTGTAAATACCAAGAAACTATGGTTTCCTTTTGCTTTCAAAGTGGTGCGAAATGGATTTCGTCCATCAGTAGGGTTAAAGATTTAACTAGCGTAAATTGATCGGCCTGAGATGCCCAGAGCTTGTAGCAGGCGATTGAAACTGACAAGGGGGTCCTGGAAGAAGCATTTTCCGCTTGCAGGGACCCCCTGTCAGGTTCCATGTTGGTGGGAGGGTAATTAAGATTGCAACCTCTCGCACGCAAGGTGGCAATAAGCCGTCCAGAATAGTGCCACGCCTGGCATCTTGGCTCCGTGCTCCCATGTGCAATTATCAGAAAGGGGTGAAGCAGAATTTCCATCTTGCCGGCCTTGCACGAGGCCCCTTCACAAAGGTTCTACACTAGGGATCACTTTATATTTCCAAAACGGCAGCCAAAAGGATTACGCGGCAAGCCGGGATCCTGCAAATACAATGCTGTAAATCCAACCCAACCGGCAGGGCGGGGCGGATCGCAAATACGTGTGGGGGGGGGGGGTTGTCAAAAATATGGACCCTTTAAGACCTTGTGCCGCCTTGCGCGGCCTTTTGCAGGGGACACCAAAAACGACCCCCTACTTTTCTCGAACCTTCATGTACCCAAACTACCTCCACAGACATCAGCCCCTACGGTGGATGGACGAAATCCATTTCGCACCACCGTTCAGAAACCCTCATTTCTGATGATTCCCCTGCAAGTGCCAACAAACGTTCTGGTTTCAACCATGGTTCCAAAGTGGTGCGGTTTCCGAATTCCGCAACCACCTGGAATGATTTGACCCCCCTGTACAAAAACAAACGCTAGAATTTTCAACCATGGCTTCCATGTGGCGCGACCCCTGGATTTCTCGCCACACCACCCAGCCCCTACGTCCCAGCAGCTCGGTGGGCGCCGCTTTGGTCTGCAGGAAGATCCGCAGCTCGCGCCGCTTTTCTGAGGAAGAGGCCCGGGGCGAGGGATCGATCCGAGCTGAGCGAAGAAATCGCTCCGAGGAGCTGAGCGGGTGGCTTCTGATTCCTTTCGTTCAGGGCGCACGGGTTTCATTGTAGAGAAGCACTCCCTAGCCCCGGAAGAAATCGGTGTTGATAGATTCCCGTTGAACACCAACAGGGGAAAAATAACACGTGTTCTTGGGCAGATGGCAGCCTATGCTTCGCGGCCCCCGCTTTTTGGACCCCGAACAATCCCGAACAAACCCGTGGGCAACAGTTCTGCGCGGACCCGCGAATCTAAACCTCTGAAGCAAACCACTGCCAGTGAGACATTTCTCGGAAGTTCGAACCATGCGAGAAGCCAAGAATATATTTGGCTGAGCGGTTCCAGCCCCCCAAGCCATTCCAAGCCTGGCCAATGTGCTGGGGGAATGAATTGAGGCAACCGCACCATCTGAGATGGGTAAAACCCTACGAATGATGGGGGATTCGCCAACTATCAACTGCTATGGGTCTTTTCGTGCAACAGTCTTTTCGTGCAACGCCAACGCACTGGTCACTGCACAAAAGCTCGTCTGTGCGGTTTCCGCTTGGGCAAAAGGCTCACAACTTCACAAAAGGCCAGGCCACACACCAATGTCCTGCACAACCTCAGGCCACACTCTAATCTCGGTTGCTTTCTGCTCCCCTGCAGAAAGTTTAACTTTCAGTGTTTTAATGGAACACCCATTAGT